TTCCCTATCAGGACTCATAACGCTGTCTCAATCCCTCTCAGGACTCATAACGCTGTCTCATTCCCTCTCAGGACTCATAACGCTGACTCATTCCCTATCAGGACTCATAACGCTGTCTCATTCCTATCAGGACTCATAACGCTGTCTCAATCCCTATCAGGACTCATAATGCTGACTCATTCCCTATCAGGACTCATAATGCTGACTCATTCCCTATCAGGACTCATAATGCTGTCTCATTCCCTATCAGGACTCATAACGCTGACTCATTCCCTATCAGGACTCATAACGCTGTCTCATTCCCTATCAGGACTCATAATGCTGACTCATTCCCTATCAGGACTCATAACGCTGTCTCATTCCCTATCAGGACTCATAACGCTGTCTCATTCCCTATCAGGACTCATAATGCTGTCTCATTCCCTCTCAGGACTCATAATGCTGACTCATTCCCTATCAGGCTATCATAAGCTGTCTCATTCCCTATCAGGACTCATAACGCTGACTCATTCCCTATCAGACTCATAACGCTTCTCATTCTCTATCAGGACTCTAATGCTACTCATTCCCTATCAGGACTCATCGCTGACTCATTCCCTATCAGGACTCATAGCTGACTCATTCCCTATCAGACTCATAAGCTGTCTCATTCCCTATCAGGACTCATAATGCTGTCTCATTCCCTATCAGGACTCATTGCTGTCTCATTCCCTATCAGGACTCATAATGCTGTACTCATCCCTATCAGGACTCATACGCTGTCTCTCATTCCCTATCAGGACTCATAATGCTGTCTCATTCCCTATCAGGACTCATAACGCTGTCTCATTCCCTATCAGGACTCATAACGCTGACTCATTCCCTATCAGGACTCATAATGCTGACTCATTCCCTATCAGGACTCATAATGCTGCTGACATTCCCTATCAGGACTCATAACGCTGTCTCATTCCCTCTCAGGACTCATAATGCTGACTCTTCCTATCAGGACTCATACGCGTCTCATTCCCTATCAGGACTCATACGCTGACTCATTCCCTATCAGGACTCATAACGCTGTCTCATTCCCTATCAGGACTCATAATCTGACTCATCCCTATCAGGACTCATAACGCTGGTCTCATTCCCTATCAGGACTCATAATGCTGTCTCATCCCTATCTCAGGACTCATAAACGCTGTCTCATTCCCTATCAGGACTCATAACGCTGTCTCATTTCCCTATCAGGACTCATAACGCTGTCTCATTCCCTATCAGGACTCATAATGCTGTCTCAATCCCTATCAGGACTCATAACGCTGTCTCATTCCCTATCAGGACTCATAACGCTGTCTCATTCCCTATCAGGACTCATAATGCTGTCTCATTCCCTATCAGGCCTCATAATGCTGTCTCATTCCCCTATCAGGACTCATAATGCTGTCTCATTCCCTATCAGGACTCATAATGCTTCATCCCTCTCAGGACTATAAGCTGACTCATTCCTATCAGGACTCATAACGCTGTCTCATTCCCTATCAGGACTCATAATGCTGTCTCATATCAGGACTCATAATGCTGTCTCATTCCCTATCAGGACTCATAACGCTGTCTCATTCCCTATCAGGACTCATAACGCTGACTCATTCCCTATCAGGACTCATAATGCTGACTCATTCCCTATCAGGACTCATAATGCTGTCTCATTCCCTATCAGGACTCATAATGCTGACTCATTCCCTATCAGGACTCATAACGCTGTCTCATTCCCTATCAGGACTCATAATGCTGTCTCATTCCTATCAGGACTCATAACGCTGTCTCATTCCCTCTCAGGACTCATAATGCTGTCTCATTCCCTATCAGGACTCATAATGCTGACTCATTCCCATCAGGACTCATAATGCTGTCTCATTCCTATCAGGACTCATAACGCTGTCTCATTCCCTATCAGGACTCATAACGCTGTCTCATTCCCTCTCAGGACTCAATGCTGTCTCATTCCCTATCAGGACACATAGCGCTGTCTCATTCCCTATCAGGACTCATAATGCTGTCTCATTCCCTATCAGGACTCATAATGCTGACTCATTCCCTCTCAGGACTCATAATGCTGACTCATTCCCTATCAGGACTCATAACGCTGTCTCATTCCCTATCAGGACTCATAACGCTGTCTCATTCCCTATCAGGACTCATAATGCTGACTCATTCCCTATCAGGACTCATAATGCTGACTCATTCCCTCTCAGGACTCATAATGCTGACTCATTCCCTATCAGGACTCATAACGCTGTCTCATTCCCTATCAGGACTCATAATGCTGTCTCATTCCCTCTCAGGACTCATAATGCTGTCTCATTCCCTATCAGGACTCAATGCTGTCTCATTCCCTATCAGGACACATAGCGCTGTCTCATTCCCTATCAGGACTCATAATGCTGTCTCATTCCCTATCAGGACTCATAATGCTGACTCATTCCCTCTCAGGACTCATAATGCTGACTCATTCCCTATCAGGACTCATAACGCTGTCTCATTCCTTCTCAGGACTCATAATGCTGACTCATTCCCTATCAGGACTCATAATGCTGACTCATTCCTCTCAGGACTCATAATGCTGACTCATTCCCTATCAGGACTCATAACGCTGTCTCATTCCCTATCAGGACTCATAATGCTGTCTCATTCCCTCTCAGGACTCATAATGCTGTCTCATTCCCTATCAGGACTCATAATGCTGACTCATTCCCTATCAGGACTCATAACGCTGTCTCATTCCCTATCAGGACTCATAACGCTGTCTCATTCCCTCTCAGGACTCAATGCTGTCTCATTCCCTATCAGGACACATAGCGCTGTCTCATTCCCTATCAGGACTCATAACGCTGTCTCATTCCCTCTCAGGACTCAATGCTGTCTCATTCCCTATCAGGACTCATAACGCTGTCTCATTCCCTCTCAGGACTCATAATGCTGTCTCATTCCCTCTCAGGACTCATAATGCTGTCTCATTCCCTCTCAGGACTCATAATGCTGAGCAGGAAGGACCTGTAGAGACACATAACGCTGACTCATTCCCTCTCAGGACTCATAATGCTGACTCATTCACTATCAGGACTAGGGTTGCAAAATTCCGGGAATTTTCAAAGATGGAAACTTTCCATGGGAATAAACTGAGAATTTTCTAAATGTAAGGTTGGCTCTTCATAGGGAACTTAAATATAGTTGGGGAAAGTATATTTTAGCATAATCTTGACTAAAACAAACAGATGCCATTCAAGTACACTTGAATATCCATGCCATAGCACACTGCTTACTGCATGGCTATTGAGACCACACAAAGGGTCGCAACAGGCTCACTAATGTGAGAGTGGAACAACTGGTTGGCATTCGGGCAAACCTAAGGCTCTCTGAGCCGGACACAGAGCCATCCTCAACAAGGCTGGACAGTGACACTGAAGAGGAAGAGGAAGAGTGTGACGTTGATGAGGCCCAGGAAGAGGAAGAGTGTGATGTTGATGAGGCCCAGGAAGAGGAAGAGTGTGATGTTGATGAGGCCCAGGAAGAGCCCGTTGACTGAAAGGGTTTAGCAAAAATGCAGAGGACCGCTTGAAGGAAGATTTGCATGTTTAATGGGACTGGAGGGAGAAGGGCTCTTTTCATTTCACATGTTGAATGGGACTTTGTGGGGATTTTTGGATAGGGGTGCATTTTTGTTCATTTTTTAATGAGTGGGGTTGGGGGGGATGAGTAATATTTAACTCAACATTCCTGTTTTCGTTCATCAATGAAACAAATAATTGTTCAATAAAATAATTAAAACTTGTTCTGTTCTACTTAAAGTGGACCTATCATGCTATATTTGAACAATATATTGTAGGGCCATACCTATATAAGGTATATTTATACGTTTCTGTTTTCAAAATACCAAACAGATCATGCATTTTAGCCATGCCTCATTTCGCTCTATGTGCTGTTTGCTGTCTACGGGTCTGATTCTGCTGACCACGCCCCCCTGCAGGAGAGGGGAGACGTGCTCTGATCAGCTGCTGGGCTGTCAGAAGAGGGGGAGAAAAAGAGATCTCCGTCCTCCGTGTTTTATTATATAGAGTCGTTATTCATTTGTTTTAAAGCTCAATAAATAAGAAGACCTTTGACCGGCACTTTTCTAATTTTGTCCGGAAGATTTAAACTTTAACGGACATCTTGACCGGCGAAAGAAACTGCAACTGAAACTCTGCCGCACGGTCCCCTGGTTCCTTGGAAGAGGCGGAGAGGTGGGTGTTTGTCATCTGCTGGTGGACTAACCGGAGAGAATTACAGTGCTTGCCTCGACGGGGAGGGATTGCATTGAATTAAAGCAGCAGGAGCAAACGCTTGCCTCGGGGAGGGAGAAAGAAAGCCACAGCGGAGAATAAACAGAAGGGTAACCATGGTAACTATGGGCGGGAAGTCTTCTTCGCTGCTTTTGTGGCAGACTACAGCGCCACGTACAGGCCTGGCATATGTACTACAGCGTCTCCAGCGCTTTCGAACGGCAATGGCCGTGGCTGTCTCCTCCTGATTGGTGGAGTTGGCCCAATAGCCGTAGCGGCACCGTCCTGACGTCAGGACAGTGTTCAAATCTGGATCAGTTTTTATCAGATCCGTTGCAGCCCCTTTTTTAGAGATTTGGGTATGGAGGAAAATAGAGAGGGTTGTGTTTTCTGACACTTGGTGAGTTCCCTGGAACACCGGGGACACATATTCATGTAGAAAAGACGTACACAAGTGCATTTTGAATGATAGGTCCCATTTGAAAAAAAAAAAAAAAATCTGTTGAAATGTCATGTTTTTTGTTTAATTTTGCATCGAATATTTCCAAAATTCCCCAGCTTAACTTCCCATGGAAACGTTCCGCCCCTTTGCAACCCTAATCAGGACTCATAGTGCTGACTCATTCCCTTTCAGGACTCATAATGCTGAGTCATTCACTATAATGATTCATAGTGCTGACTCATTCCCTATCAGGACACATAATGCTGAGCAGGAAGGACCTGTAGAGACACATAACGCTGACTCATTCCCTCTCAGGACTCATAATGCTCTCTCATTCCCTCTCAGGACTCATAATGCTGACTCATTCCCTATCAGGACTCATAACGCTGACTCATAATGCTGACTCATAACGCTGACTCATAACGCTGACTGATAATGCTGACTCATAACGCTGACTCATAATGCTGACTCATAATGCTGACTGATAATGCTGACTCATAACGCTGACTCATAACGCTGACTCATAACGCTGACTCATAACGCTGACTCATAACGCTGACTCATAACGCTGACTGATAATGCTGACTCATAACGCTGACTCATAACGCTGACTCTTAATGCTGACTCATCGGTGTTTGAGGACTCATTCCTCACCCGTCGCTCTCGGTGGTATACACCACAGGAACCCTGCTCTCGCCCTCGATGCCCAGCTCGCTCTGCACCGCCTCCAGGTTCCTCTCGAACGTGTCCACGCTGCCGATGTTGAACCACACGAACATCTAAGAATAATAAAGCTTTATTTAGACAGCACTCATCATGCAGCTCAGAGCGCTTTAGACAGCACTCATCATGCAGCTCAGAGCGCTTTAGACAGCACTCATCATGCAGCTCAGAGCGCTTTAGACAGCACTCATCATGCAGCTCAGAGCGCTTTAGAAAGCACTCATCATGCAGAAAGCACTCATCATGCAGCTCAGAGTGCTTTAGACAGCACTCATCATGCAGCTCAGAGCGCTTTAGACAGCACTCATCATGCAGCTCAGAGCGCTTTAGACAGCACTCATCATGCAGCTCAGAGCGCTTTAGAAAGCACTCATCATGCAGCTCAGAGCGCTTTAGAAAACACTCATCATGCAGCTCAGAGCGCTTTAGACAGCACTCATCATGCAGCTCAGAGCGCTTTAGACAGCACTCATCATGCAGCTCAGAGCGCTTTAGACAGCACTCATCATGCAGCTCAGAGCGCTTTTAGAAAGCACTCAGAGCGCTTTAGAAGCACTCATCATGCAGCTCAGAGTGCTTTAGACAGCACTCATCATGCAGCTCAGAGCGCTTTAGACAGCACTCATCATGCAGCTCAGAGCGCTTTAGACAGCACTCATCATGCAGCTCAGAGCGCTTTAGAAAGCACTCATCATGCAGCTCAGAGCGCTTTAGAAAGCACTCATCATGCAGCTCAGAGAGCGCTTTTAGACAAGCACTCATCATGCAGCTCAGAGCGCTTTAGACAGCACTCATCATTGCAGCTCAGAGCGCTTTAGACAGCACTCATCATGCAGCTCAGAGCGCTTTAGACAGCACTCATCATGCAGCTTCAGAGCGCTTTAGACAAGCACTCATCATGCAGCTCAGAGCGCTTTAGACAGCACTCATCATGCAGCTCAGAGCGCTTTAGACAGCACTCATCATGCAGCTCAGAGCGCTTTAGACAGCACTCATCATGCAGCTCAGAGCGCTTTAGGACAGCACTCATCATGCAGCTCAGAGCGCTTTAGACAGCACTCATCATGCAGCTCAGAGCGCTTTAGAAGCACTCATCATGCAGCTCAGAGCGCTTTAGACAGCACTCATCATGCAGCTCAGAGCGCTTTAGACAGCACTCATCATGCAGCTCAGAGCGCTTTAGAAAGCACTCATCATGCAGCTCAGAGTCTGCTTATAGGACAGCACTCATCATGCAGCTCAGAGCGCTTTAGAAAACACTCATCATGCAGCTCAGAGCGCTTTAGACAGCACTCATCATGCAGCTCAGAGCGCTTTAGAAAACACTCATCATGCAGCTCAGAGCGCTTTAGAAAGCACTCATCATGCAGCTCAGAGCGCTTTAGAAAGCACTCATCATGCAGCTCAGAGCGCTTTAGAAAGCACTCATCATGCAGCTCAGAGCGCTTTAGAAAGCACTCATCATGCAGCTCAGAGCGCTTTAGAAAGCACTCATCATGCAGCCTCAGAGCGCTTTAGAAAACACTCATCATGCAGCTCAGAGCGCTTTAGAAAGCACTCATCATGCAGCTCAGAGCGCTTTAGAAAACACTCATCATGCAGCTCAGAGCGCTTTAGAAAGCACTCATCATGCAGCTCAGAGCGCTTTAGACAGCACTCATCATGCAGCTCAGAGCGCTTTAGACAGCACTCATCATGCAGCTCAGAGCGCTTTAGACAGCACTCATCATGCAGCTCAGAGCGCTTTAGAAAGCACTCATCATGCAGCTCAGAGCGCTTTAGACAGCACTCATCATGCAGCTCAGAGCGCTTTAGAAAGCACTCATCATGCAGCTCAGAGCGCTTTAGAAAACACTCATCATGCAGCTCAGAGCGCTTTAGAAAGCACTCATCATGCAGCTCAGAGCGCTTTAGACAGCACTCATCATGCAGCTCAGAGCGCTTTTAGACAGCACTCATCATGCAGCTCAGAGCGCTTTAGAAAACACTCATCATGCAGCTCAGAGCGCTTTAGAAAGCACTCATCATGCAGCTCAGAGCGCTTTAGACAGCACTCATCATGCAGCTCAGAGCGCTTTAGAAAGCACTCATCATGCAGCTCAGAGCGCTTTAGACAGCACTCATCATGCAGCTCAGAGCGCTTTAGAAAGCACTCATCATGCAGCTCAGAGCGCTTTAGACAGCACTCATCATGCCAGCTCAGAGCGCTTTAGACAGCACTCATCATGCAGCTCAGAGCGCTTTAGAAAGCACTCATCATGCAGCTCAGAGCGCTTTAGAAAGCACTCATCATGCAGCTCAGAGCGCTTTAGACAGCACTCATCATGCAGCTCAGAGCGCTTTAGACAGCACTCATCATGCAGCTCAGAGCGCTTTAGACAGCACTCATCATGCAGCTCAGAGCGCTTTAGACAGCACTCATCATGCAGCTCAGAGCGCTTTAGACAGCACTCATCATGCAGCTCAGAGCGCTTTAGAAAACACTCATCATGCAGCTCAGAGCGCTTTAGACAGCACTCATCATGCAGCTCAGAGCGCTTTAGACAGCACTCATCATGCAGCTCAGAGCGCTTTAGAAAACACTCATCATGCAGCTCAGAGCGCTTTAGACAGCACTCATCATGCAGCTCAGAGCGCTTTAGAAAGCACTCATCATGCAGCTCAGAGCGCTTTAGAAAACATCACACGTTAGAAATAAACAAGATATCCCCCTCAGATGTGAAGAACCTAACATCTGAGCAGGCCGAGAGACACAAGGAGGACCAACAGACACAAGGAGGACCAACAGACACAAGGAGGACCAACAGACACAAGGAGGACCAACAGACACAAGGAGGACCAACAGACACAAGGAGGACCAACAGACACAAGGAGGACCAACAGACACAAGGAGGACCAACAGACACAAGGAGGACCAACAGAAACAAGGAGGACCAACAGACACAAGGAGGACCAACAGACACAAGGAGGACCAACAGACACAAGGAGCACCAACAGACACAAGGAGGACCAAACAGGAGCACCAACAGACACAAGGAGGACCAACAGACACAAGGAGCACCAACAGACACAAGGAGGACCAACAGACACAAGGAGGACCAACAGACACAAGGAGGACCAACAGACACAAGGAGGACCAACAGACACAAGGAGGACCAACAGACACAAGGAGACCAAAACAAGGAGGACCAACAGACACAAGGAGGACCAACAGACACAAGGAGGACCAACAGACACAAGGAGGACCAACAGACACAAGGAGGACCAACAGACACAAGGAGGACCAACAGACACAAGGAGCACCAACAGACACAAGGAGGACCAACAGGAGCACCAACAGACACAAGGAGGACCAACAGACACAAGGAGCACCAACAGACACAAGGAGGACAAACAGACACAAGGAGGACCAACAGACACAAGGAGGACCAACAGACACAAGGAGGACCAACAGACACAAGGAGGACCAACAGACACAAGGAGGACCAACAGACACAAGGAGGACCAACAGACACAAGGAGGACAACAGAAACAAGGAGGACCAACAGACACAAGGAGGACCAACAGACACAAGAGGACCAACAGACACAAGGAGCACCAACAGGAGCACCAAGGCAGACCAACAGGAGGACCAACAGACACAAGGAGCACCAACAGACACAAGGAGCACCAACAGACACAAGGAGGACCAACAGACACAAGGAGGACCAACAGACACAAGAGGACCAACAGACACAAGGAGGACCAACAGACACAAGGAGGACCAACAGACACAAGGAGGACCAACAGACACAAGGAGGACCAACAGACACAAGGAGGACCAACAGACACAAGGAGGACCAACAGACACAAGGAGGACCAACAGACACAAGGAGGACCAACAGACACAAGGAGCACCAACAGACACAAGGAGCACCAACAGACACAAGGAGGACCAACAGGAGCACCAACAGACACAGAGACACAAGGAGGACCAACAGACACAAGGAGGACCCAAACAGACACAAGGAGGACCAACAGACACAAGGAGGACCAACAGACACAAGGAGGGACCAACAGACACAAGGAGGACCAACAGACCACAAGGAGGACCAACAGACACAAGGAGGACCAACAGAAACAAGGAGACCAACAGACACAAGGAGGACCAACAGACACAAGGAGGACCAACAGACACAAGGAGCACCAACAGACACAAGGAGGACCAACAGGAGCACCAACAGACACAAGGAGGACCAACAGACACAAGGAGCACCAACAGACACAAGGAGGACCAACAGACACAAGGAGGACCAACAGACACAAGGAGGACCAACAGACACAAGGAGGACCAACAGACACAAGAGGACCACAAGAACAAGGAGGACCAACAGACACAAGGAGGACCAACAGACACAAGGAGGACCAACAGACACAAGGAGCACCACCAGACACAAGGAGGACCAACAGACACAAGGAGCACCAACAGACACAAGGAGGACCAAACAGACACAAGGAGGACCAACAGACACAAGGAGGACCAACAGACACAAGGAGGACCAACAGAAACAAGGAGGACCAACAGACACAAGGAGGACCAACAGACACAAGGAGGACCAACAGACACAAGGAGCACCAACAGACACAAGGAGCACCAACAGACACAAGGAGGACCAACAGGAGCACCAACAGACACAAGGAGGACCAACAGACACAAGGAGCACCAACAGACACAAGGAGGACCAACAGACACAAGGAGGACCAACAGAAACAAGGAGCACCAACAGACACAAGGAGCACCAACAAACACAAGGAGGACCAACAGACACAAGGAGGACCAACAGACACAAGGAGGACCAACAGAAACAAGGAGGACCAACAGACACAAGGAGGACCAACAGACACAAGGAGGACCAACAGACACAAGGAGCACCAACAGACACAAGGAGGACCAACAGAAACAAGGAGGACCAACAGACACAAGGAGGACCAACAGACACAAGGAGGACCAACAGACACAAGGAGTACCAACAGACACAAGGAGCACCAACAGACACAAGGAGGACCAACAGACACAAGGAGGACCAACAGACACAAGGAGGACCAACAGACACAAGGAGGACCAACAGACACAAGGAGGACCAACAGACACAAGGAGCACCAACAGAAACAAGGAGGACCAACAGACACAAGGAGGACCAACAGACACAAGGAGCACCAACAGACACAAGGAGGACCAACAGACACAAGGAGGACCAACAGACACAAGGAGGACCAACAGAAACAAGGAGGACCAACAGACACAAGGAGGACCAACAGACACAAGGAGGACCAACAGACACAAGGAGCACCAACAGACACAAGGAGGACCAACAGACACAAGGAGGACCAACAGACACAAGGAGCACCAACAGACACAAGGAGGACCAACAGACACAAGGAGGACCAACAGACACAAGGAGGACCAACAGAAACAAGGAGGACCAACAGACACAAGGAGGACCAACAGACACAAGGAGGACCAACAGACACAAGGAGGACCAACAGAAACTAGGAGGACCAACAGACACAAGGAGGACCAACAGACACAAGGAGGGCCAACAGACACAAGGAGGACCAACAGACACAAGGAGGACCAACAGACACAAGGAGGACCAACAGACACAAGGAGGGCCAACAGACACAAGGAGGACCAACAGACACAAGGAGGACCAACAGACACAAGGAGGACCAACAGACACAAGGAGCACCAACAGAAACAAGGAGGACCAACAGACACAAGGAGGACCAACAGACACAAGGAGGACCAACAGACACAAGGAGCACCAACAGACACAAGGAGGACCAACAGGAGCACCAACAGACACAAGGAGGACCAACAGACACAAGGAGGACCAACAGACACAAGGAGCACCAACAGACACAAGGAGGACCAACAGACACAAGGAGGACCAACAGACACAAGGAGGACCAACAGACACAAGGAGGGCCAACAGACACAAGGAGGACCAACAGACACAAGGAGGACCAACAGACACAAGGAGCACCAACAGAAACAAGGAGGACCAACAGACACAAGGAGGACCAACAGACACAAGGAGCACCAACAGAAACAAGGAGGACCAACAGACACAAGGACCAACAGACACAAGGAGCACCAACAGAAACAAGGAGGACCAACAGACACAAGGACCAACAGACACAAGGAGGACGCATGATAACACAAATAAAACAAACAATGGTTTCTCTCCGACAGATAAGACACAAGACAACTTAGTCGATGCAACAATATAAAACCCCATAAAACAAAGTGAACATATAGGTACAACAGATATACAAAATAAAAAGATTAAGAACTATCTGAACACATGTTGGTGTTAGACACGACTTATAAAAGTATTCCCTGCTTTAAAGTGAAGCGGTGACTCACCCCGTCGACCGGCGCCTGGCCCGAGGAGAACGCCACCTTCACAAAGCGCTTGTTCACCACCTCCAGCCGGTCCACCTGCAAAACAAGCGCACCCCGTTCAATACTGCAGCAGGTAGACATCAAACTACTCAGATACATCTATATCAGTGTTTCTCAAAGTGTGGTCCGTGAGCGACCCCTAGTGGTCTGTCAGTAGATTGGTACAATGTCACATTTCAGATGAATACAATTATAAATTCAAAGAGTTTCTAAAATAGTTAAAAAATGACAAGTATAGGAGCAACAGAGACACGCAGTCAATGAGCGAGTAAACACAGAGGAAGTCTCACCACTCCTTTGGACAGGAAGTTGTTGACAAAGTCTTTCCAGGTGACCTCCCGCCCTCCGTCTCTGAAGAATAAGAAATAAAAGATAGTTGTCCAGAAGGCCGCTCCGCTCAGGAAGTACATCCTGAACTCCTTATTGTCCCAGGGAACATCTCCCTGAAACACACGGCGTCAGTAAGCACGTTAATAAACACGTCAGTAAGCACGTTAATAAACACGTCAGTAAGCACGTTAATAAACACGTCAGTCAGTACGTCAGTAAACACGTCAGTAAGCACGTCAGTTAGCACGTCAGTAAGCACGTTAACACGTCAGTAAACACGTTAGTAAGCACGTCAGTAAGCACGTCAGTAAACACGTCAGTTAGCACGTCAGTAAGCGCGTTAATAAACACGTCAGTAAGCACGTCAGTAAACACATCAGTTAGCACGTCAGTTAGCACGTCAGTAAGCGCGTTAATAAACACGTCAGTTAGCACGTCAGTAAGCACGTCAGTTAGCACGTCAGTTAGCACGTCAGTAAGCGCGTTAATAAACACGTCAGTAAGCACGTCAGTAAGCACGTTAATAAACACGTCAGTAAGCACGTCAGTAAGCACGTTAATAAACAGGTCAGTAAGCACGTCAGTAAGCACGTTAATAAACACGTCAGTAAGCACGTTAATAAACACGTCAGTAAGCACGTTAATAAACACGTCAGTAAGCACGTCAGTCAGTACGTCAGTAAACACGTCAGTAAGCACGTCAATTAGCACGTCAGTAAGCATGTTAACACGTCAGTAAGTACATTAGTAATCACGTCAGTAAGCACGTTAACACGTCAGTAAGTACATTAGTAATCACGTCAGTAAGCACGTTAACACGTCAGTAAACACGTTAGTAAGCACGTCAGTAAGCACGTCAGTAAACACGTCAGTTAGCACGTCAGTAAGCACGTCAGTAAACACATCAGTTAGCACGTCAGTTAGCACGTCAGTAAGCGCGTTAATAAACACGTCAGTTAGCACGTCAGTAAGCACGTTAATAAACACGTCAGTAAGCACGTCAGTAAGCACGTTAATAAACACGTCAGTAAGCACGTCAGTAAGTACATTAGTAATCACGTCAGTAAGCACGTTAACACGTCAGTAAGTACATTAGTAATCACGTCAGTAAGCACGTTAACACGTCAGTAAACACGTTAGTAAGCACGTCAGTAAGCACGTCAGTAAACACGTCAGTTAGCACGTCAGTAAGCGCGTTAATAAACACGTCAGTAAGCACGTCAGTAAACACATCAGTTGGCACGTCAGTTAGCACGTCAGTAAGCGCGTTAATAAACACGTCAGTTAGCACGTCAGTAAGCACGTCAGTTAGCACGTCAGTAAGCGCGTTAATAAACACGTCAGTAAGCACGTCAGTAAGCACGTTAATAAACACGTCAGTAAGCACGTCAGTAAGCACGTTAATAAACACGTCAGTAAGCACGTCAGTAAGCACGTTAATAAACACGTCAGTTAGCACGTCAGTAAGCACGTCAATAAACACGTCAGTTAGCACGTCAGTTAGCACGTCAGTTAGCACGTCAGTAAGCGCGTTAATAAGCACGTCAGTAAGCGCGTCAGTAAGCACGTCAGTAAGCGCGTTAATAAACACGTCAGTTAGCACGTCAGTAAGCACGTTAATAAACACGTCAGTTAGCACGTCAGTAAGCGCGCTAATAAACACGTCAGTAAGCACGTCAGTAAGCACGTCAGTTAGCACGTCAGTTAGCACGTTAATAAACACGTCAGTTAGCACGTCAGTAAGCACGTCAGTTAGCACGTCAGTAAGCGCCTTAATAAACACGTCAGTAAGCACGTTAATAAACACGTCAGTAAGCACGTTAATAAATACGTCAGTAAGCACTTTAATAAACACGTCAGTAAACACGTTAATAAAGACGTCAGTTAGCACGTTAATAAACACGTCAGTAAGCACGTTAATAAACACGTCAGTAAGCACTTTAATAAACACGTCAGTAAACACGTCAGTAAGCACGTTAATAAACACGTCAGTAAGCACGTCAGTAAGCACGTTAATAAACACGTCAGTTAGCACGTCAGTTAGCACGTCAGTAAGCATGTTAATAAACACGTCAGTAAACACGTCAGTAAGCACGTTAATAAACACGTCAGTAAGCATGTTAATAAACACGTCAGTAAACACGTCAGTAAGCACGTTAATAAACACGTCAGTAAGCACGTTAATAAACACGTCAGTTAGCACGTCAGTTAGCACGTCAGTAAGCGCGTTAATAAACACGTCAGTAAGCACGTTAATAAACACGTCAGTAAGCACGTCAGTAAGCACGTTAATAAACACGTCAGTTAGCACGTCAGTAAGCACGTTAATAAACACGTCAGTAAGCACGTCAGTAAGCACGTTAATAAACACGTCAGTAAGCACGTCAGTAAGCACGTTAATAAACACGTCAGTAAGCACGTTACTAAACACGTCAGTAAACACGTTAATAAGCACATTAATAAACACGTCAGTAAGCACGTTAATAAACACGTCAGTAAACACGTTAATAAGCACGTTAATAAACACGTCAGTTAGCACGTCAGTTAGCACGTCAGTTAGCACGTCAGTAAGCGCGTTAATAAACACGTCAGTAAACACGTTAATAAGCACGTTAATAAACACGTCAGTAAGCACTTTAATAAACATGTCAGTAAACACGTTAATAAGCACATTAATAAACACGTCAGTAAGCACGTTAATAAACAGGTCAGTTAGCACGTCAGTTAGCACGTCAGTTAGCACGTCAGTAAGCGCGTTAATAAACACGTCAGTAAACGCGTTAATAAGCACGTTAATAAACACGTCAGTTAGCACGTCAGTTAGCACGTCAGTAAGCGCGTTAATAAACACGTCAGTAAGCACGTCAGTAAGCACGTTAATAAACACGTCAGTAAGCACGTCAGTAAGCACGTTAATAAACACGTCAGTAAGCACGTCAGTAAGCGCTTTAATAAACACGTCAGTAAGCACGTCAGTAAGCACGTTAATAAACACGTCAGTAAGCACATTAATAAAGACGTCAGTTAGCACGTCAGTAAGCACGTTAATAAACACGTCAGTAAGCACGTCAGTAAGCACGTTAATAAACACGTCAGTAAGCACGTTAATAAACACGTCAGTAAGCACTTTAATAAACACGTCAGTAAACACGTTAATAAGCACATTAATAAACACGTCAGTAAGCACGTTAATAAACACGTCAGTAAGCACGTCAGTAAGCACGTTAATAAACACGTCAGTCAGCACGTCAGTAAGCACGTTAATAAGCACGTCAGTAAACACTTTAATAAGCACGTCAGTAAACACGTCAGTAAACACGTCAGTTAGCACGTCAGTAAGCACGTTAATAAACACGTCAGCAAGCACGTCAGTAAGCACGTTAATAAACACGTCAGTAAGCACGTCAGTAAACACGTCAGTAAGCACGTTAATTAGCACGTCAGTAAACACGTCAGTTAGCACGTCAGTAAGCACGTTAATAAACACGTCAGTAAGCACGTCAGTAAGCATGTTAATAAAGACGTCAGTTAGCACGTCAGTAAGCACGTCAGTAAGCATGTTAATAAACACATCAGTAAGTACGTCAGTAAACACGTTAATAAGCACGTCAGTAAACACGTTAATAAGCACGTCAGTAAGCACGTCAGTAAGCACGTTAATAAACACGTCAGTAAGCACGTCAGTAAGCACGTTAATAAACACGTCAGTTAGCACGTCAGTAAGCACGTCAATAAACACGTCAGTTAGCACGTCAGTTAGCACGTCAGTAAGCGCGTTAATAAGCACGTCAGTAAGCGCGTCAGTAAGCACGTCAGTAAGCGCGTTAATAAACACGTCAGTTAGCACGTCAGTAAGCACGTTAATAAACACGTCAGTTAGCACGTCAGTAAGCGCGCTAATAAACACGTCAGTAAGCACGTCAGTTAGCACGTTAATAAACACGTCAGTTAGCACGTCAGTAAGCACGTCAGTTAGCACGTCAGTTAGCACGTCAGTAAGCGCGTTAATAAACACGTCAGTAAGCACGTTAATAAACACGTCAGTAAGCACGTTAATAAATACGTCAGTAAACACGTTAATAAAGACGTCAGTTAGCACGTTAATAAACACGTCAGTAAGCGCGTTAATAAACACGTCAGTAAGCACGTTAATAAACACGTCAGTAAGCACGTTAATAAATACGTTAGTTAGCACGTTAATAAATACGTCAGTAAACACGTTAATAAACACGTCAGTAAGGACTTTAATAAACACGTCAGTAAACACGTCAGTAAGCACGTTAATAAACACGTCAGTAAGCACGTCAGTAAGCACGTTAATAAACACGTCAGTTAGCACGTCAGTTAGCACGTCAGTAAGCATGTTAATAAACACGTCAGTAAACACGTCAGTAAGCACGTTAATAAACACGTCAGTAAGCATGTTAATAAACACGTCAGTAAACACGTCAGTAAGCACGTTAATAAACACGTCAGTAAGCACGTCAGTAAGCACGTTAATAAACACGTCAGTTAGCACGTCAGTTAGCACGTCAGTAAGCGCGTTAATAAACACGTCAGTAAGCACGTTAATAAACACGTCAGTAAGCACGTCAGTAAGCACGTTAATAAACACGTCAGTTAGCACGTCAGTAAGCACGTTAATAAACACGTCAGTAAGCACGTCAGTAAGCACGTTAATAAACACGTCAGTAAGCACGTCAGTAAGCATGTTAATAAATACGTCAGTTAGCACGTTAATAAATACGTCAGTAAACACGTTAATAAACACGTCAGTAAGCACTTTAATAAACACGTCAGTAAACACGTCAGTAAGCACGTTAATAAACACGTCAGTAAGCACGTCAGTAAGCACGTTAATAAACACGTCAGTTAGCACGTCAGTTAGCACGTCAGTAAGCATGTTAATAAACACGTCAGTAAACACGTCAGTAAGCACGTTAATAAACACGTCAGTAAGCATGTTAATAAACACGTCAGTAAACACGTCAGTAAGCACGTTAATAAACACGTCAGTAAGCACGTCAGTAAGCACGTTAATAAACACGTCAGTTAGCACGTCAGTTAGCACGTCAGTAAGCGCGTCAATAAACACGTCAGTAAGCACGTTAAT